CACACTATTAGAGAAAACCGACTCCCTCTCCCAGCAGCTACAGTTGCAAATAGATACTCGGCTAGGGGTGGGACTTCATGCCTACCCGCCCCGCTCCATGATGGTCTTTATCTGGCGTGAGCTTGCACAGATCTGTGTGTGCTGTCACACCACTATGAGCTCATATGTGCAGTTGCCCTCTGTGTCTGGAAAACACAGTTTCCTTGGAGTCCTCCACCACTTTGTGCTCTTACTATCTTTCTGTCCCCTTTTCCACAAGCCCTGAGAAGAGGGAATGCAATATATCTGCCCTGTTGGAGCTAAGATTCCAAAGTCTCTTTTCTCTTCTGGTAGCCCACACAACACCTTTCAACACTATGAATGCTAGTCAGTATGGATGAAGCTTCCAGGTGAGGACCAGATTGATTTCTCCATGTCCTATGTCCAAACTGTGTGGCATCTTCAGCAATAGGGTCTTAACTGTCGTGTTCTGAAAGGTAACCAAGAACAATGGCAATAGACTGTAATAGAAGGTAATGTTTGAGGATCTGTGTAACCTCACTGGCCAACAAGTCCAAAAGAGGTAACCCATTCCTGGCACAAGGCTTTTTGTTTGTTCCTCCTCCCTTTGCTCTTATTTTCTTCAATTGCTTTGTCTGTCTGTCTGTCTATCTATCATCTGTCTATCATCTATCATCCATCTTTATCTATCTGTCTATCATACATCTTTATCTACCTACCTACCTATCATCAATCATCTATCTATCTCTATCTAATCTATTATCTATATGTCATCTATCTATCTTCTATCTATCCATCTGTCTGTCTACCTATCTGTTATCCATCTTTACATATAAAGTAGCAGGTTTCCTTATGGCATTTTTATGCCTACTAGTCTTTGGTCATCTTCCCTTTACCCTCTTCAGCATCTCCTCCCTCCTTCCATATCTAAACACACCCTTTCACCCTAAGTAGTCCTTCTTTTAGTATCGTATCACATATGTCCTCTGACTTTCCCTACTGCTCCTCCTTAACTCCCTTTTCCCGTTCTGGTCCTTGGCATGTATGGTCGCTCACTCACATGCACTATATATAAGTTAAAGCTGGGTGTGGTGGTGCATACCTTTAATCCCGGCACTTGAGAGGCAGAGGCAGGCAGGCTCATATTTCTATGAGTATGAGGCCAGCCTGGTCTACATAGAAAGTTCCAGGCCAGCCAGGGCTACATAGCAAGACCCTCAGAAAAGGAAATTAAGTTGAGATCCATAAATGAGAGGATGTGGTATTTGTCTTTCTAAGCCTGGGTTACCTTGTGTAATATAACGTTTTCCAGTTCCATACATTTTTCCTATAAATTGAATAATTTAATTTATACCTGAACAATTTTCCATTGTGTATTTGTATCACATTTGCATTATATGTTCATCTGTTGATGAACATCTCTGTTGGTTCTGCTTCCTTAATATTGAGAAGAGAACATCCATAAACATGGATAAATATCTCTTGTGTAGAGTCCTTTGGGTATACACCTAGAAGTGGTCTAGCTAGGTCATATGTTAGTAATATTTTTAGTTTTTGAGAAACTGCAGATTGCTGAATAGCTGCACCAGTTTACACTCCCATCAATGATGAATAAGGGCTCCTCTTTCCCCACATCCTCGCCAGCATTTTTTTTTTTTTTTATAATAGCCATTCTTACTGGGGAAAGATGGATTCTCAAAGTGGATTTGTGTTTCCTTGATGGCTAAGGATGTTGAACACTTTAAAAATACTTAGGACATTTCTATCTTCTTTTCAAAAGTATCTGGTCAGTTCACTGACCGGGCAGTTTTGTTTTAGGGAATTCATGTTTGCAGTTCTTTACATATTTTAGATATTAATACCTTGTCTGAAGTGTAGCTGGCAAATATTTTTCTCCTGTGCTGTAGGTTGTCTCTTTACTCTGGACCCCCTTTTTATATGCATAAGCCATTTAATTTTATTCAAACCTGTTTGTGAATTCTTGAGTCTGTTTTCTGTACTATTGGGGTTCTGTTCTCAAAGTTCTTAACAGTATCTATATCCCATGTTTTCTTCTAGTGGCTTCAACTTTTCAGGTTTTAAATTAAGGTTTTTAATCTAGTTTCATCTTTCTTTTGTGCAGGATGAGAAATAACAGACCTAATTTAGCAGTTCTGCATATCATCTTTTTGGAATCTTATCCAAAAAGTTGTTGTCTATATGAATTTCTTGAAACAGTTCTCCTATGCTTTTCTTGCAATAAGTAGTTTCTAATTTACAGTCATAGTTTTAAGCATTGGTCCATTTGGAGTTGATTTTTGCAGACAGTGGAAGATGCGTCTAGCTTCATTCTTCTGTATATGGATTTAGTTTTCTCAGCATTATGCATTAGAGAAATTATTTTCCAGTGTGTACTTTGGCACCTTTGTTGAGAATGATTTGTCCTTAGATATTACTGATTAATTTCTGTGATCTGTTTCATTGCTGTGTTGCGGAGACCCACAGAGGTTTCCTATTGAGAACTTACTCAGGGTCCTAGAATCTGAGCTTGCTTAACTCAGCAGTGCTGCATAAGGGGATGATTTGACTACAAGCGTGGTTACCAGGTGTTTGGAAGGGTCTACACTTGGCTGTGTGGTGTGCTTTGATCTAGCAAAGGGGAGGTCTTTTGCTCCACGCCTTGGTATTATAAAAAGCTCTTTTGAGTAAATGGAAAAGGCCATTGGGTATTGACCCAGGTCCTCCCGAAGCTATCCTGTGTTTCTGTCTTTCTCTTCTTCACTATCTTTCTATCTAATATTTTCTTATCCCTCTCTCCTCTTCATAAGAACCCTTGAAAAGAGGGGAGCTGGCCTCCCATACCATCTGTCCATTTTTGTGGCAGTATCATGCTTTGTTTACTATATAGCCTTGTAATATCTTAAGGTCAGCTATTCAAATTTTTTACAGCTTTGTTTTATTCAAGATTGATTAGCCAGTAGGCATCTTTTTTGCTTCCATGTGAATTTTAGATTTTTTCTATTTCTATATGCCATTGGCATTTTGCTAGGAATTATGTTTTATCTGTTCATCTGTAAATTGCTTTGTTTGGTATGGACATTTTAGCAATATTGGCTTGTCCAGTCTAAGGGTATAGGAGGTCTTTTCACTTTTCAATGTCCTGCTCATTTTCTTCATCAATATTTTGTAGTTTTATTGTGGAGATCATTCAGCTTCCTTGGTTATATATATCACTAGATATTTTACTCTAGCAGCCATGAATAGGCTTGTTTATTAATTTCTTGATCAACAGGTCTGTTGTTGTGTAAAATTATATTATTTTTGTCTGTTGATTTTGAATCCTGTAAATTTTGTAAATGTATCAGTTCTAACAAATTTTGTTTTAGGAGAAAAATTCATGGTTTTCTACATGTAAAAACATGCCATCTACTAATGGGTAACCTCTGGCTTCCACCTTACTTGTTTTACAAAGCCTTTTAGTCTTTTCACTGGATAAGATTTCCAATCCTATGTTGAATAGTAGTATGAAAATGGACATTATCTCATTCATGACCTCAGTAAACTCTTTTAGCTTTTCTTCATTCAAGATGTTTGCTGAGGGTTATAGTGTATAACTTTTATTGTGTTAAGGTACATTTCTTAAATTTTTAATTAATTGGTGTTTAAGTATTTAATTTTACCATGAAAGGATGTTGAGTTTTACTAAATGCTTTTCTTCAGCTGTCAAGATGATCATAATAAGGCTTTTGGATTTGATATGATATGTCACACAATTGGAATCTCTAAGGTTTTAATATTTTTATTTGTTTATTTTTGTTGTGGTTCAGAGGTGATCAAAATAGCCTCTGCTGTTGTGAAAATTACATCTCCTCTCATGGATTGCTTCTACTGCCTCTCACACTGTTTTTACAGACATTTATAAAGAATAGTAGGATTTCTCTGGCTGTCCATCCAACTGATAATCTCTTCCTCCTGCCCCTCTAAAGAGCTTCTGGAGATACTGTGGTTCCAAGAAATGATGACCTGCCCAAGGCTGTTGAGGTTCTTGGGAATGGTCATCTCCTTTTATTTAACTGATTTTTATGTATTATAGTAACTTAATTTTTTTCTTCACACTATTTTGTTGGAAAGAGATTTTGAGAACAATATTTTACCTTAAAATTGTGAAACTTGCCGGGCGGTGGTGGCGCACGCCTTTAATCCCAGCACTCGGGAGGCAGAGCCAGGCGGATCTCTGTGAGTTCGAGGCCAGCCTGGGCTACCAAGTGAGTTCCAGGAAAAGGCGCAAAGCTACACAGAGAAACCCTGTCTCGAAAAACCAAAAAAAAAAAAAAAAAAAAAAATTGTGAAACTTAAAAAGTATATTTTACTATAAACTTCTAGACTTACTGCATTTTTGACCTACAGATATTTGTAAAATTTCAGATACTTGGAATTTATACTGGTAGTGTGACCTAAAGGTCATTCTAAAATGATGGATTTCATATGTGTTATGTGATAAAGAACACACTCTTCTGTTGTTGTTATGTGTGCTGTATCTCTGCTATTCAGTCTTGTGAGTTATAATACTTAGACCGTCTTTGTCTTTTGATGTGTTTTGTGTTAGTAGAGTGAGACATGTGTTGGACTCTCTGCATCCTCTCGTTTAGACTCTAGGGACTTCTAAATACTCTAAATACTAAATCCATGGAGTGCAAAAAGCTTTGTCTTTGTCTTAGTTGGTCTTAGCATTCTTGCCTTGGTGTAGTTGACAATCTACACACCGCATTCATATTACATGACAGAATATGTATCAGTCTACTCTGTCTGTCATGGCACTGAATGGATTTTCTGTAACTTCAAGGTACATAACACACTTTTCCCTAAAACAATGGTAGTCTATTCAAAAGTGACAGATCTTCTGGAAAAGTCAACTTCTGTTGAAGTCTAAAGCTTTGTATTTAAAGAGGGAAAAAAATCTTAAGAAGCTATCCCTTAAGTATCTCATGGAATTTACAAGTGTGTTTGTTTCTGTTTCTCAGACATTGGCTTGACCGTCTCAGAGAAGGAGCTGGCTCAGCTGGCTCACATTCAACCATTAGTATTCAATTATTCTACACAAACTGTCATGAGGGGTTTTTTAAAAATGCTCCAGAAAAAAGAAGAATATGATATCATCCGTGAGTTTTTGGTAAATATGTTGTTCTAAAGAAAAGTTTATAATTTTCTTTTCTATACCACAACCAAAAGTTTTCTTTGCTTTTTTCTTCCTTATTATACTGAGTACTTTGCTTGTATTTGTAGATACCATATTTTTAAAATAATAGATGTACATGGTAAAAAGAATCAACTAGCACAAAAAGCTATAAAATATATAGAAATGCTCCTTTTTTCCTCCCCCATTTCCCTCTAGGGCCCCCTTTAACTGTTAGGCTTGCCTTTGTAAACTTGAAGTGTTGGGATGTTCTTTATTCACCAGTCTACCTCTTTAAAGAAGCTTTTCTATGACATAGATTTTCATTCATATTACCAGTCTGTGCAGCTGAACCTTTGAGTTAATTACATGGCAAGTATCTTCATTTCTTTAATAGGTCCAGGACATTTAGCTTGTTCCACTGCCTGTCTTTTAAACATCAATCATCCTTCATATGTGTATTATACATGTGTCCTTTTAAAGAACAAATTTCTAGAAAAGCAGTATTTTGGGCTGTCAAATTTTCAAATTTATCCATCATGACTTTTAGTTGATGATCTGTCATTTCTTTAATATAAGATACAGAATTATCTTTCCATGTTTTTAAGCATTGCATATTTACATGCAGTTCTTTACCCAAATTTTTTGCTTATTATTTTCATATTAATTACTCTTAATATAATGAATAAATTATTCCTTTGGTGTGTTTTATATATAATATATTTAAACACATAGATATGAACACATGTGTATGTGTAGTGTATTTATACACATAGATATGAACACATGTGTATGTATAGTGTATTTATACACATAGATAGGAACACATGCATATGTATAGTATATTTATACACATGGATGTGAACATATATGTATGTATCTGTTTATCATGAAGGAATAACTAATTTTTAGTAGTAAAATTTGGTGACCAAAGGACTTCTGGGTTTTTACATTTTTTAGTAATACCCATTTCAGTCTAAGAACATAATAATTATTTTATATTTTCTTGGTACTATTAAAATGGTTTTTAGTATCTTTTGAATCTTCCATTCAGTGTCTGGCTAGAATTTAACTCAACTTAGGTGTTTAGAAGGGGCCACTATTTTATATCTGTCCATTTGTCTTAAGACGCTGCTGAAAGATCTTTATTATTATTATTATTTTTGGTAATGAATGATACCATTTTATCTTAGATTCTTTAAAATTGACTTTATTATTCATGTACTGGTTCCAGATTTCTAGGCTTTTACCATGTATTAAGACTAACCTTCATTACTGTTATGTGATATTTTTTTTCTGGTTCTTCTTAAAGATTTCTTTCTGGGTTAGTTTTAGAATTGGCTTTCAGAAGGAGTAAAAACTGTCAGTCTGACCATAGTAGTACTATAGGGCTTGACACCTAGGTAAGCCCCTTCTTGTGATGGCAGCAGTTGTTGGCAATTATTTAAGCACTGGTGGATACACAAAAATTAGCAAAGAAAATTTAAAATGTACAGTCTCAGGCTTTATCCATATATATTAGAATAAAAAGGACCTGATACTTTCCAGTTTCTTTTGTACCATTGGCCCTCTGTGTCTGTGGACTCCACATTACTGGCCTCAAAGGACTGTAGATCAAAAATATTTGGCAACATATTGCATCTGTGTTGAACTGTACAGATGCCTATCCTGTCTTTATACCTTAAGCAAGGTAGTGTAACAACTGTGTATGTAGCATTTACATTGTTTTGAGTGGAAGTGTTCTGAAGATCATTTAAGTCTGAAAGAATTGCACAGTTCCTATGAAAACACTGTCCCTCATTTTATGTACAAGACTCTACATCCATAGATTTCTCTTTCTGTGGGAGTCCTGGAATGATGAAACAGGGTCTTTCCTAGCTTTGTTCTACCTCTGAGCTAGAGCATATGCTCTGTGCTCTTGCTACCTTGCTTATCCATCCTTCCTGAGCCCTTCCGCACACAGTACATTTCATATAGGCACTTCTGGTGGCTTATGAGGACCCAGGTTAAATGCTGCTTCCTTCCTGGGTGTTTTCTTATGTATCTTCAGGCACAATTAAATACTGTCATTATTCCGTAAGTCACATATTTAATTAAATATTTTTTATTCACTGCTTAAAGATTGGAAAAATTTCTACTTTGTCTTTGTATTCCAATATCTAGAACTAAATGCTTGATAAATTTTGGTGAATTCATAATTGTTTAAGAGTTTCTTTTGAGAGGAAGAGAATTCTTTAGTCAGTATCCCAGCATAATTTCTTTTTCTTTTTTTTTTAATTTTTTTGTTTGTTTGTTTTTTTGAGACAGAGTTTCTCTGTGTAGTTTTGGTGCCTGTCCTGAACTCACTCTGTAGACCAGGCTGGCCTCGAACTCACAGAGATCCACCTGGCTTTGCCTTCTGAGTGCTGGGATTAAAGGTGTGTGCCACTACAACCTGGCCCAGCATAATTTCTTTAAGGAGTAAATTTTAAGGATTCTTACAGCTTTCTAAAATATTTCTGTTATGGTTATTTTGTTTAGAAAATGATAGTGTTATGGTTAGATCCGAATAACTAAATACTCTATTTCATTTTTTATGAAAGGGTAAACAATAGTGTTCAGGGAGAAAAGTATCTTGAGGATTTTACTTTTATCAACCAACTCACTGATTCATTGTCTTAACTTAGGATATTCTATGCAGTCCTTACGGGATGAGATTCTAGTTTCTCTGGTTTGTTATATAACATCGAGTAGCAGGCCATCCCATATAGAGATGAAGGATAATAAATGCTAAACAAATGGAGATTTTCCTTCTTTTTAAATAGTAAATATGTGGCTTTTTTTTTTTAATCTTTGAAGGAGTTAGAACAAATGACTGTGCCTGATGACTTCAAGTCTGGGAATGAACTACTCAACAGAGACAAAAACAGATACCGAGATATTCTTCCATGTAAGCTGAGAGCTTTTTAAGTTACTTCCCTGTTAACGGTTGGGAAAAGGTAAAAACTGACTTTCTGCATGACAGACTTTGAACTTTCTCCTGACGAACTCTAGTAGCTAGCACTGGATCATCTGGGCACATGCTGGGACCTGAGGCATCTCTCCTGAGTACTGTTGTTGAGTTAGTTACACAACCCTGTAGCCTGATTACCATTTAGGCTGCTGTCTGTCACCTGGTAGCCGAAGCATGGCTACCTTCCCTGGCAGTTTGTCTAAACATTAAAACACAGCAGGGCTCTTTATGTCCTCTGCCCTAGATATTAATGCAGACTCATCAGTCTGCTGCCCATCAGCTTCTTTATTATATCCAGGACTCTACCTTCTGCTTCATGCATGGTGGGGGGGGGGGCTGTTTCCTGTTCTTCTCTTATTTCCTCACAGCATTTGTCAATCTCAACCATCCAAAGAACAGAAACAAAAATATGACAATGCAGTCTTAATGGAAATTTTATCCTATGATCATTTTTTCAAAATCAAAATTTTCTAAGTCAAATTTACCATTTTTCTACTAACTTGACCATCTTCCATTATTAACTGCTTTCTTAATATAATCATCCACTGTTCAAGCCAGAAAACTGAGTCCCTTGTTATATGCAAAATGTGCTTGCCAATTACTTCTTCTCCCTCTCTAGTGACTCCAGAACCTCCTCACACTTCTCTGGTGACATTGCTGCCAGCCCAGACTGAGTGCCTTTCACCTCTCAGCTGGTTTCTGTCTTCCTTCTGTCCCTGCCCATTCGCAAGAGCTGCTGAAGAGATTTCCTTAGGACACAGTCAGAACACCCTGCTTTCCTCTGCCATGACCCTGTGTTGCTGTCATGCTGGAGTTCTCCTCGGTGTTTGTCTGTCTGTCTGTCTGTCTATAGCTTCTGTGGGTTTCTGGAAGGCATTCTTTTTCTTCCCTCCATATGATTAATACTTCAGTCCATGCAAGAGCTACCTTCTTTTCCTGCTGTGGTCATCTCTGTCAATTTAGCTTTTCTTGTTTCCTCAAACGATTGGGTGATTTTCCAGGTGTCCTAGTATCTTGTTAGTGAGTACTCTGCTTTCATGATTTTGTTGTTTCTCTAGACAGATTTGAGGTAGCTCAGGTCAAAGTGCGACAGTGTTTGCCAAGATAAAATAGACATCTCTATGTCTAGTTAGCTCATTCAGGCTAAAATAACTGTGATGGTTAAAATGATGTATTCTGTTATCTTCTGTGAGACAACAGGAAATTCACTAGTGAGTATTTCTGAAAATCAGGTCAGTAACCTACCATGCAACATTTTAGTGGTACAAATGGTTTGGTGCTACTCTGAAAGGTCAAAGGTCTCATATGTTGACTTTTATCCCTACATGTGCAGTTACTCTTCAAGGAGACTGAAAGTAAAGTTTTTAAAAATGATTTTCTCAGGATTATAAGAAGTAAGAAGTGCATTTTAGGAGTAAAGTGTACATGTACTTGATTCTGCTTGAGTTCTGTCTTGGGCACAAAGGTTGACAAGGAGGTATATAGACACAAAAAAGTTCACTTGAATGATTAAAAAAAAGGAAATCATCCTAAAGTTTTTGCTTTACTTAAACTGTAATTCAACTAAGTTCTATTTTAAGATTTGCTCACTTCATAACACAGTCTAGTCTAATCTACATGTCAGCCTATGTGGGTGAGAACCATGAAGTGTCAGCCTCGGTGAAGCTTCATGAAGCTTCTCTGGTTTCTCTATCACACATACGGAGGAGTTTCAGATGACACACCAGGAAAGGCACAAGTCATTTATTGCCCTCTCTTCAGTTAGCCTTCAGCGTGCAGGGCCTGATGTACACACATACCGTTACCAATACAACATACTGTTAGGACTATTGAAACAGGGATCACACAGAGGTCCGTTGTCAATGTGTGTGAACCGTGAATAGTTGCACACGTAGCAAGTATGACTATTAACTCCTCAGTGTGCAGATTACTGTGTCAGGAAAAGATGGGCAGCATGCCAGGACTAACCTGACTTCTTTCAAAATCTGTTTGTGTTGTGTGAACAAACAGCAAAGCATGCGGTTGTGTTGCCCCTTTATCTCCCAGTGAGAAACTCACATGGTATTCTACAAACGGGATAATCAAGAGAGAGCTGACCAACAAAGACAGTTGTCATTGGCAGCAAAGGAGAGAAAAGTTATAATTCTGGGGCTACAATTAGGATTGAACACAAATAACCCTGTAGAGTAAATAGCTGACTGGAGCATGTGATCTTGTCACCAAGCAAGATTCTCTACTGCTGTACCCAGAAGGACTTGCTGAAGGGTGACTTACCAAAAAGCAGGAAGTGGTTGGGATGGCCAGGATGAAAAGCACCTAGAAGTGTGCTGACTAGAAGCTTGACATCACAGGAACTTCAGGATGGTTTCACAACAGTGGAAATAGAGAGGTCAATGAGAGGAACATATCCAAATACAGGAGGGAATATGACAACCAGGACAACAAGAACCTCACCCTAGGTTACACAATGAAAGGAAGGCGCAAACCCTGTCCAAACTACAAGTGCTTTAGTTCTCAGTGTTTCCAGTGTTTTAGATTCTTGTTCAAAGTAAATAGGAGTCTTGCTTCAATTTTTTTCTATATATTTATAAGCAACAGGAAAGTTTTTAAAACTTTAACAAAACTGTTAAGGGCCATGAAACAATCATATTTTCCTATTGATTATTAAGATATTTTGCAGTTTCACTTTACATAGTCATATTTATGGCCTTGTACCATCATGCAAAGCAAGCAAGGCTTTTCTGGTGGAAACACAATATATTGCATTTATTTAACACTTTACAACTTGCAAAACATTTTATTGACTGATAAGGGAAGTGAGAACACATTGTATACAAAGTCTTCAACTCCAGGCTGAATACCTTTTCTGTTACTTGTCTCTGGGTCAAGATGTAACCAAGACTAATAATGATAGTGTCTTAAATTTCTGTGTATTCTTTATAACACTGTGAGGAGGACAGGGGAGATGATAATATGTGAATTTAAAGATACCGAACAATGAGGAAAAGATACTCTTTCAACAAACAGTCTGGTCAACTTCATATTTATATAATAAAAAAATTCCTCTAATATTTACTTCATACTTTATATAAAAATGAATTCAAAATAGGTAACAAAACCAAATATAATAAAAAACATATTTGGGACTGGAGAGATGGCTCAGTGGTTAAGAATTCTTGCTGTTCTTCCAGAGGACCCAAGTTCAGTTCCCAGCACCCATGTCAGATGGCTCACAGCTGCCTGTAACTCCAGTTTCAGGGAGTCTGACATCTTCTTTTGTCCTCTGCACATGTGTGCACATACACAAGTGTGTCCACACACATACCACATGTGGCATAAACACACAGAGACAAGCACAAATACATATAAAATAGTATTTTAAATTAAAAACATAAAAGCATACAATTTCTTGGAAAAAAACAAAGAAAAAATTTAGCATCATCAAATTTAGTAAGAATTTTCTCAGCAGGACACAAAACTCTGAAACTATCAAAGGAAAAATTAGATTTCATGAAACTTAAAAAAAATTGCTCTTCCAATTATACCATTCTAAAAACAAAATTGCAAGAGGCAGGCTAGAAGAAAATTAAGTATAAAACATCTGCTTCACAAAGGATATGCATTTATAATACAGTAAGAATTTCTATAACTCAAAGAACAATATTCCTAGAATAAATAAGCAAAAGATTTGAGAAGTCACATTGAGGAGGTGTATGGACATCACTAGAAGTAGTTTGCTTTCAGTTGGCCAAGCTAGGAATTCACTTCACTGTCTGAACTCAGAGACAGACCAGCTTTTCAGTTCTGTCATAGTTGAGTTCAAAGGACTTTCAACTGTCTTTTCCTTCTGTAAGGTATCACACAAGCCACTATGGAGGAAACAGTAGCAAGTACTCTAGACTTGTTCACAACACATTTTCATACCAGAGAATGGAAAATACAACTAAAAGGAACTTTTGTGGTTGAAATTTCTAGGGGTCCAAGTTTGTAGGACATTTTGAAATACTCCCATCTACAAAGAAAGATAAATTACTATATCATGCTTCTCCAGGCAAAGGGGAGACACATGTCTTGCGAGCCTCTCTAGCCCCTGGGTGGCAACATATTCTTCTTTTAAATGAGAATTCTAAAGAAAAGACTCTGCCACAAATGTAAACCACTGTACAAGGCTCTGCCACAAATGTAGATCACTGTGTAAGGCTCTGCCACAAATGTAAACCACTGTGCAAGGCTCTGCCACAAATGTAGACCACTGTGTAAGACTCTGCCACAAATGTAGACCACTGTGTAAGGCTCTGCCACAAATGCAGACCACTGTGTAAGGCTCTACCACAAATGTAGACCACTGTGCAAGGCTCTGCTATTTGGATTCAGCAGATGTAATGGTCAGTGGCAGTCATGCTGTTTAGAACCTGCTGCAGTACTCCAAAGACTCAGGATTTTGAAGCAGTGCCCCACAATCCCTCTGTGAACCACTTTCCTTTGGAGAAGCAGGCTTTTAGCCTACTGTTACACCTTAGCAGAGACTGAATAGTAGAGAACTCAATCGAGATTGCTTCTCTGTGAATAACCAAGCCATTAAGCTGGGTATACACAACATCACTTGATTATCAGAAAGAATGGTAGATGTGAGTTTCTTCTTGAGTAGATCCTTGTCTTAGTTACTTGTCTATTGCTGTGACAAAGCACCATGACCAAGACAACTTATAAAAGAGAGCATTTAATTTGGGAGCTCATGATTCCAGAGGGCTAGAGTCTGTGGACACGGCACCAGGCAGACCAGCAGGCATTTGAACAGTAGCTGAGAGTTCACATCTGATCCACGAGCACGGGGCAAAGAGAGCGAACTGGGAAGTGGCATGGGCTTTTGAAACCTCAAAGCCTACCTGGTGGCGCACCTTCTCCAGTAAGGCCAGACCTCTTCATCCTTTGCAAACAGTCCCACCAACTGCAGGACAAACATTCAACTATATGAGCCTATGGGGGCCGTTCTCATTCAAACCACCATAACCCTGAAGGCACAAATAAGCTCTGTGAAAAAAATTGTCCGCATGTCCATGATCCTTATTGCTGGTACACTACCTTCTCTCCCTAGTGTGTACCTCTGTTCTTATGAGGAGTTCCCTGTGGTCAGTTGACAGGGAAACAGAGGGTTCTACATGGTCTGTGTTGTTGCCATGGATCGGCTGTGTCACCTGACAGTTGCTCTTTTTTGAGACATTTCTGAAGTGTAATGGTGAAGGGGTGTATACCTGCTGGGAGTACGTTGGCTTGGTGTACTTGGTTGTTCATTTCCCTGGAGAAATGGTTGGAGGGTCAGCTGAGGTGATAGCCAGTGCCTTCGCTAGATGGATGATCAAGGCCTTGGAAGAAATATAATTGAAAAGTTAGTAACAAAGGAGGTCTAGGGAAGAGGTATGTGGCTAGAACTTTATAAATGAGCAAAGCCCACACAGATCCTGATGTTCCATGTGAGTGCTCATGAAGAGTGACTTCAACAAAGGGCAGAAACCTTGTAGATGGATTGTTCTGTGGACAGGCTAATTTCCCCTAATTACCCTGCTGTTTTTCAGTAGCTCATGAAAAAACAGCCTATTTGGCACTGTTGGAGGGAATATATGGATTCAGCTTCAGAGACTTCTTGCCACTCACCAAGAGCAACCATTGCTGAGTATCTGGGCTTCCAGAATCTGGGCATGGAGTGGCACTGAGTCCCGGACATGAAACCATTCCCTGAGGTGGCAGGTTATGTCAAGCCACTTCTATCATGGAAGAAATAGTGAGGTTTTTTTCTAACAAAAGACAAATTTACTCTGAATATGGAGTTGCCTTTGCTAGACACAGTGCTTTTCCCAAATTTACCACCTGTAGACCTACAGAATGCCTTACACACCATCATGGTGTGCCACAACACAAAGAAACTCTCTTTGTGGCAAATGGCTCTTAGTGGCTTTTTCCTATGAGGTTTTTATCATAGTCTCCACCATTCTGAGGAGACTTACTTGATACAGTGGTTGAATATCCTCTTGAAGACAATTATAGTGATAAATGGATGACATTATCTTCCTGGGACAGTATTCTCTAGTAGACTGTACGTACACACAGTACCTGCTGTAGCCAGGATTCAGGGAGTAAGGGGTGCACACAGGAGCAACATCACCTTAATAACCCATCAACACAATTTTTGCTTCCTGAATGTGTGACTTTTGCCTTTTTTGTTGTTATGTTATTAAAAAATATGTTCATTAGTTCTTTGAGGATTTTGTACATGTTTTGATCATCTCCCCCTAAATCTTCCCAGATCCTTCCCCTTACCTTCCCATCCATCTTTGTGTCCTCCCCTTCCCCATGAAGACCAATATGGTCTGTCCAAACATTCTTGAATGTGTGGACCTTTTATTGGAGCATGGTCTACTTCTCAGGCACTACACTCTTAGAGGAAACTTCTCCCAGCAGCTATCAGGTGCCAGTAGCACACAGCTAGAGGTGGAACTTTGTACCCAACTTTCCTCTCCGTGCTGGCATTTGGCCAGGTTTGAGCTTTCACAGGTCTTAGATATGCTGTCACAACCTTTGTGAGTTCATAAATGCAACTTCCTGCTGTGTCCAGAAAGCACATTCCTATTGTCGTCTACCTTCTCTTACATTCTTATATACCCTCCTCTGCAATGGTGCCCAAGCTTTTGGAGGGAGGAGTGTGGTGTATAGGTTTCATTTAGGGCTGAACATCCTGCAGTCTGTTATTCTCATTTGGGCATTTTGCCCAATTGTGGGTCTCTGCATTGATCATTATCTACAATAAATGTAAGCTCCTCTGATGAGGATTGAGAGATACTTTAATATATTGGTATAATGATAGGTCAGTTGATTTAATACTGTGGCCTTTTAGCAGCATGATAGTAGTAGGTTTTCTCCTAGGGTCTTTACTGTCTAGCCACTGGTTCTTGGCCTGATAATGGTGTCCAGGATAGGTTTCATCTTGTGGAGTGTACCTTTAATCCAATCAGAAAGTAATTGTTTACTTCCATGATGTTGGCCTTAAGGTCTTAATAACTCTCTTCTTAATCTTATCCCAACTCAAGTGATGTCTTTCTGCAAACTTGAGTCTCTCTTGAGAGTCAATAAAGTATGTAATTATTTGGGGGATTTGTGAAGCCTAGAAGACTTCACAAGTAGGGACAAGTAGGACAGGAATTTGAATTGAGTAATTCTGGTTTATATCTCTAAGTTGGATTTTGTTAAATTATTTAACACTTCTAATCTCCCTTTTCAAAACTGAAAATGTTCATATAAAGTAACATTTGAGATGGAGAGATGGCTGTCAGTTAACAGCATGTACTTGCTCCTATTTGGAAATATTTGGTGTTTTTCTATATTTAGCAAATAGATATTCCTGTTCATCTTTATAAGAGAATTCTGTATACTATGTTGGAATTCAAGATGGACTCTGTCAGAAGCCCCAGACTTTGTTTGGTGACCATTAAGCCTAGCAGAGTTGCTAAATGACTACTAATGTCTCCCTGAGAACTAGGGAGAGGCAGTTGGTGAGAACACTGTGTGGCAGGGAAGGCCATGTGCTGAGTTCACTTCTGCTTTCTACATGGGAGCAGTGGTGGAACAGAGCTCCAGATGTCTGTGTGCAGTAAAACAAGAGCTCCTGAACGGTGGAGTTTATCATGGGCCAAAGGCCAGTTTACCTCACACTTGCTGGCAATATTAGACAAGTCACATGCTCTTTGAGCCAGGACTTTCAGTGCCATCTTTTTGCCACATACCTGTGTCTCAGTTAGGGTTTCTATTGCTGTGGAGAGACACCATGACCACAACAACTCTTATGAAGGAAAAATATTTCATTGGGGTGGCTTGTATTTTCAGAGGTTTAGTCCATTTTCATCATCATGGTGTGACAAAGATGCCTTGCAGGCAGACATGGTGCTGGAGAAGGAGCTGAGAGTCCTACATCTTGACCCACAGGCAACAAGAAGTGATCTGAGACACTAGGCATGGCTTGAGCATATATGAGACCTCAAAGCCCACCCTCACAGTGACACACTTCCTCCAACAAGGCCATACCTACTCCAACAAAGCCACACCTCCTAGTAGTGCCACGCCCTGTTGAGCTTATCCCCATAATTACATTCAAACTACCACACCTGTTTTGATTGACACATTACTACACCCAGTGGAAGCTGAGGAAGAATTGGAAAAGATGGCTGCCTGGCTGCAGTAAAGTCATTGGTAGAATCCCATTAATACTGGAATTTATCTCTAAATCATTATCAGGTTTATTTTGTAAAAACTCTGGTCTCCACTGCCCTATACTTACAGATTTCCCCAATTTTCAGGAGAATGCCATACACTATTCTCTCTGAAAGCTGCTTCTTTGCTGTATTCAGTTGCATAGCAGTGAACAGCAGATACCCCTTTGGTCTAACACTACTGTATCTCACAGGTGCTGGATGGTGGTGATGGCACTTGCTCTTAAAATCCTCCTAATTGTTTATTTCTCAAGTCTTGCAAATAGGTTTTATGGAGGAAATAATTTAAACTTGACTCTTGAAAAGAATTTCCTATGCCATTTTTTGAGGGGGAGGGTAAAGAAATACATGGATTTACCTATGTGGGATGCTTTTATGAAGTCTGGATATATTGTATACCCCATTCTTCCATTATTTTCACCATGTTTCTGTTTCTATAATAGATGATTCAACACGTGTTCCTCTTGGAAAACACAAGGACTACATCAATGCTAGTTATATTAGAATAGTAAATCATGACGAAGAGTATTTTTATATTGCTACTCAAGGACCACTGCCAGAAACTATAGAAGACTTTTGGCAAATGGTTATGGAAAATAACTGTAATGTTATTGCTATGATAACCAGAGAGATAGAAGGTGGAGTTATCAAGTGTCACAGTTACTGGCCCATTACTCTGAAGGAGCCATTGGAATTGAAGCAGTTTCGCATCCTTCTAGAGAACTGCCAGATAACTCAGTATTTCATCATTCGAATATTTCAAATTGTGAAGAAGTCCGTAAGTCTTAAAATGTCGCTAGTAGATGCATGTTTTACGATATAAGTTTGATGTATTCCACTAGAATGGAATACATACTAAGAGTATGCTGTGTTCAGTTGATGTCACTGGGAGGCCTGCTCTTTTCTGAAAGGAAATGGAGGAGCCATGAATCTGGGGGAGAGGGAAAGAGGGGTGTTGGGAGGAATGGAGGGAGAGGAGGCTGTGGGCAGGATGAAGAATAAAGAAAAAGAAAAAAAGTAACCTTTGCCAGTGGTAGTAGCACTTGCCTTTAATCCCACCACTTCAGGCACAGAAGTAGGAAGCTCTCTGTGACTTTGATGTTAGCCTGGTCTACAGAGAGAGTTCCAGGACAGCTAGCACTATATAGAGAGACCCTGTCTCTAAAAGAAAAATAAAAGTAACTTTTGTCTAGGAATGAAGCTATAAATTTCCACTTCTGCATAGCCAAACTTTGGAAAGAGAAGAAAACGGAAAGGGGAAAGCAGGGCGGGGGAGTGGTCCTAGATGTTTCTGGTCCTGGGATATGCTTTGGTGGCTTCTGTCAAGTGTGGCAGCCATGCACTGAGCTTGTCAAGAGTGCACACCACTGCTGCATTCCACTGCTACACAGTAAACAAGGAAATATCTGTATTCTCCCATCTTTGAGCTGTTGTGCTCAGCGCTAATGCCAAGATTCGCATGGGGTGCTTTGGGAGCAGAGATGGGAAATACTTAGCGTTATCTGGAGTTTGAGAAAAGGGTTACTGAAGGTAACATCACAACTGGATTGTGAGGGACCTAGCTGAGAAAGAAAGGAAGCAAGCAATTGAAAAAGAAATTGCCTTGGCCGTGTGTGTGTGTGTGTGTGTGTGTGTGTGTGTGTGTGTGTGTGTGTGTGTGTGTGTGTGTGAGAAATGCTCTGGAACATAAATTTGTTCATTATCGAAGAACAATGAAGGATAAAGTGTGGCTTAGACAGAAAGAAGGAACCAGCTAGAACATGAGATACCCTATTTCTGCAAAAGAACAAAATTTTATAAGTGGTAACTGGGATTAAACACTCACAGGTTGTTTTTGTTTTTTTAATAAAATTGCCAGACTTACCAGGTGCTTAGGACGTGTAACTTATGACACAAAGAGGGTTTTGAAACCATGCTGACCATGCAAGTTTGGCTACTGTACCAGAATGTGCAGACCCTTCTGAATGTGTCAGCCCATTTTTTACTTTTAAGTACTTTGAAATCTTGGTTTTTCTGCAGCCTCATGATTTAGAAGGCATACATTCAAATCCAAGCTCTAAATATGGAAGCCTTGTGACCTGGCATTTACCTCCCCATCCTGGTCTCTAAAAATGGAGACAAAATAGTGCTTTTATCTTAGGCTAATATAAAGATTTAATTAGATAACCCATGTGAAGCTCCTGCCACATTACCTGGTGGGGAACAAATGTTGGATTCCTGCCTCCTGGGGAGCATTCTTATTTTTATTGTTTTCATTATTATGTTCTTTTTTAAATGGAGAAAGCTAAGTCTGGCAACTTTCAGTTTCTGTAAACATCAAAATTAGGTTACCACACTCTGAATGCTCTATATACCAGTATTCACTACCTCCACCATCATCATCATTGTTGTTGGTGGTATATTAGAAATTGAAATGAGCTCTCTAATATAAATCAATAAACTTCTCTGTGTCTCTCCAACAGACAGGAATGAGTCACTGCGTAAAACACTTGCAGTTCACCAAATGGCCAGACCATGGCACTCCTGTCTCAGCAGACTTTTTCATAAAATATGTCCGTTATGTGAGGAAGAGCCACATTACAGGACCCCTGATTGTTCACTGCAGTGCTGGTGTAGGCCGGACGGGGGTGTTAATATGTGTGGATGTCGTGTTCTGTGCCATCGAGAAGAACTACTCAGTAAGTGTGTGATGAAGCCGATGAACTGATACTGTCTCTAAGCATGGTTCTTAACAGCCTGGTGTTATTGGAAGACTGATCTGGACCAGCGTAGCACATCAGTGGCTCAGTAGCTTGGGAGACCTCATTCTCACTCGGCTTGATGCAGGCTCCTGGGAATGGTAGTGAGGATTAAAGTGTATTATATACATAATTGGCTAGGATAGTATAGAAAGGAATGGACCCTCTGTAAGTATGTATTCGTTTCCTTGCTTTGTGTGCCACTTATGGCTTTAGTATTTTCCTAGGTAATTTCAGTGAAGTATGCTTGCTTTTAGTGAACAAATCTGGCATACATGCATGTTGAAAAAACGTTGAGCTCAGAGTTAATGAGAGGTCTCTAGGCTTAACTGCCGATTTTACTGTATGCTTTAGATTTGGATGACTTTATGTAAGTTGCTCATCCTCAACTTCAGCCCTCAAATCAGTTTTCTTAACATAAAATGAGGAGAGAAATATGCATGGATATGAGCCAAACATTAGCAATCCCTTACTTTTCTCCTAAACGGAGGTGTGAGAGACAGAGTTTGATATATGGTGGTTATGCTATCCTTTACTGTTACTAAGTGGATTGAGAATGTGATTTTAGATGTGTGGCACAATGGCTTACCTCCTGAACTATTCTGTGCTGCAGCACTGAGGAGAGGAACATACCTGCCTAGTGTGCAGGCACCGTAGAAGGCAGCTCTTACGCTGCCCATATGGAATATGACAGTCCTTGCCTCAGTCACAGGTTGACAGGTTGAGAGGCATTTGCCCTGGCAGGTGCATCCTGCAGTTATCTTCCTGTGGGACAAGGTAAAATACTGGAGTTCGGGCTTTGCACGGTCATACTCCAACAGAGTCAGGCCTCCCTGTGGTGGAAGATCAAGGAGGAGCCAGGCAAACAGTCCTTAGGGAAAGATGAGTCTTCTCCTATCTGCTAGCATTTCACTCTTCTGATTGTGTGTTAGTGTCTGAACCCTGAAGGATGGACCTTCAGGTTGTGCAAGTGAGGATGAGAATGGCAGCGTTGTCCGAAACAAACTCAGAACATCATTATGAATGATGAATATAAATTGGCTAGTCAAAAAAAAAAATAGCAAATGTCCTAAAATGCTGAAAGCTTAACTAGTAACTAATGTTTTATCCTTTAGCAGTCAATACGCTGGTATAATGCTGTTAGCACATGTATTATCTATCACAAGTTCTGAAGTGATTTACGCATATTTATCCTTGTTTCATATTCCTGTAGCAGCTGTAAAAGCTATGTATTTTTTGTCCAATCTAAGCAACACTGTTTCCCCCGCATAATAGCTTCTTTATACTTAAAATACCTGATCTTCTATGGTTTATTTGGTAGTTTTTCTTTCTTAGTGGTGCTTTGTCTGAGTTGAGGTTGTAGATCAGTAGTGGATGCTTGCCTAGCATGTTCAAGGTGTGATGTCCAACACTGAAAAAATGATGCTTCTAATTGATGAAATACTGTGGCTGACAATAAGAAGTGTAGGACTCCATAGTATTAGTAACTCATGTTCTTATTGATGCCATGGTCTACTCGCCTGAGAAATTATGTTCACTAGACCTTGTTTGTTGTCACCAGAGAGTTAAGTCTGTGGAAGGACTCAGGGTCCTTGGCATGTCCATGCCTGTGTCAACAGTATACATTTCCTCAAGACTCCACTCACACAGGGCTTCTTCCTCTGCTCCCTACAGATATAAAAATAAGAGTATTTTATTGTCTTTTTATTGTTATTTACAATCACTTAATCAAGCTAGGTTAAAACCCCTTAAAACGTTGAGAGCAAACTAGTTCTTGTCTGGAAGAAACATCAAGAGTTTGTCAAATATTCTCAGCAAAACTTTTTTTTCTTTTTTTCCATTGTGAGCATCTAGTAACTGTTAACCACCAGCTAATGTAATGAAGAGACCTGTGATGCAATGGGGAGAATAAGCCAAAATTAAACCCATTTTCCTTCTTGTCATTTAACTTATATGCAGCAATATTAACCATGGTCTCATCTGGAAGGTATTGGCTGTTACTTTTCGCTTTGTCAGTAGAGTGTGTTGACTTACCTTCTGATTTAAAGCCTTGAATCTTTTTTGTCATTGCAATTTAAATGCCTGAACTTCATTCTACAGAATATGAGCTGCAAGTCACATTTGTGCTGCAGTGCTTTGAGTTTATAGTTTAGAACTAGGTGCATTTGTCATCCATGCAAGCACAGCTTGACAAGAGTGAACCTCTCTCCTCTGTGGATCGTGCTCCTATCAACCATGCACCAACTGAATCCCTGTTGGTGTTTATGGTCGTGTTCAGCGGCATTGGTGTCACTCTGTCATTAGCTAGTTCCCAAATTTATCAGCCTAGAGCATCATTAGAAATAACTGTCTTCTGCCATCTGTTTACCAAAATTTCAAAGAAAGAAAGAAATCATTAGAGCAGTTTTAACCATTTTTTGACGACTATATATGTTTTTTTTACTGTTAGCAATTCAAATACTATTTTGTAGAAGCCTGCCCAGCATTGAAGTGGGAAATGCTGAATATCTGCTTTTGTTGGCTTTCTAATTTAATGTCTATAAAATAATTCTCTTGTTTTTGTATAAATGCTTCTTATTATGAATGGCATTAAGTTAATGGTCCCTTTGCCTTGTTAGCCAGCACATATTTGTGAACAATACAAGCATGGTTTTAGCACATACGAACAATAATGATTATAAAACTCAGTTATATGAGGAGCCTCAATTCCTGTAGAGTTTGTGTGAACTCTTTTAGTTCTCGTTTCCTCTCAGTCACTTCCGTCTTTTGTTGACCAGTACAACCACCCTAGGAAGACTGTGTCCTTTCTTGACAAGGTAATTCAGCAAAGCTTCTTTTGCCATCAATAAATTAAGGTTGAGGACTGTGGATTAATTACCATAATTTACCTAACACTAAGTTATAATTTAAAAGCTTCTAAATAGATAAATGTTTTAATTTTAATTACTTCGCCTTAGTTTTTCTTTTTGTGCATCAAGTTTCAAATATCAACTCTAGGAACCTAGATCCTGAGGAAATTTTCTACTGTTTTCCAAGAATTCAGGTTTTGTATTTTATACCTAAGTCCATACTCCATGTTGAGCATGTGAAGTATAGAGTTTTGGTTAAGATTTATTTAACTTATTTATTGGATATGGATAACCAGTTGTTCCAAGACCATTGTTGAGAAGATTATTCTTCCTATATAGAGTTGCCGGTATACCTTTATTTAAAATCATTTAGTATATTCCCATGGGGCTATTCTTGCTCTGTAGCCTCTTTCATTGATCTGTGTGTCTTATTTTGCTGCCAGTATCAACCTTTGGATCTCTGTAACTATGCAAAATATTTAATATTAGATAGAATCATTCCTTACACTTCATTCTTACATTTCAAAAGTGTCTTAGCCAGTTCAGGGTCTTTGTTTCCCAATATAAATTTTATGATTAGTTTGTGTCTTAGTTAGGATTTCTATTGCTGTGATAAAAAGAAGCTTGAGGAGAAAAGGGTTTATTTCAGCTTACAGCTCCACGTCACACAGTACATCACAGGTGGAAATCAGGGCGGGAACTCAAGGCAGGAGGAGTGCTGCTTACTAGCTTGCTTCCCGTGACCAACCTGCCCAGCGATGGCACAATGACAGCAGGCTAGGCCCTCCCATGTCCATCACCAACAAAGAAAGGACACCCCAGACTTGCCCACAGGCCAGTCTTATGGAAGCATTTGCTCAGTTAAGACTTCCTCTTCCCAGATATGTCTCTAACCTCTGTCAGGCTGACATAAAACTAGTCAGCACAGCTTGCCTGATGGGATTGTGGTAAAAATTACTTGAAGTCTATATATGACTGTATTGAATTCCTTGTATTTAATCAGCAAGTCAACATACTATATGGTTATTCACTTTTTAGGTCTTTTTTTGCATTCTTTTGTAAGTATTCCACAATTTTCTGAATATAGATTATGTATTTTGTTAAATTTATCCTATTTCATTTTCTTTGAGGAAATTGTAAGTTTACTATTTTAAGTTTGTAAGTTTTCACATACTTATTGCAATAAAAATGAAATGTAGATGCAAGTGACTTTTATGTTGATTTTATATCCTGTGACCTTGTCAAACTCATTTATTCTGGAGTCTTATTTATGGGTGAGTTACCATTTTCTACAAAGATGATTTGTGGCATCTGCAAATAGATTTATTGCTTTCTTTTCAATATGCATTCCTTTTTATTTTCCAGATTAATTCCTCTATAATTTGTTCTACAAAAGATCTTAGGGAGAAGATGAAAGGCAGGCTAAAGATTGGGAGAAAATATTTGGAAACTATGTATCCAAGAAATGCCATGCATCTTGAATGCATAAAGCGCCCTGAAAAACAATAGCTACAGTCACTAAAGTGCTTGCCATGTAGTCTTGAGGACCTGAGGTCAATCTTCCAGAACCCACATGATGTCACTCACTGTAATCCTAGCATTTAGGAGGCAGAGACAGGTAGATCCCTGAAGGTCATTGATGAACCAACCTAGCCAAATTGATGAGCCCCAGGTCCCAGAAGGAAACTGCCTCGAAAAATAAGGTGGACATTTCCCAAGGGATGAAACCTAAAGTTGACTTCTGGATTCTAAATGTACATGTACCTGCACATACATGAACACACACACACACACACACACACACACACACACACACACACACACACGATAAAATAAAAATATGCAAAATTATGGTTGAAAAGTCTTAAGATATTATGTTAGCATGACCATGTTAGTATGCCTGTACTGTTCTTGCACCATACCAACTTTCCTGATGAGTTGTCTGTGCCTGAGCTGGTCCATAGGCTATTCAGCTGGTCACTCTCAGCAGTGATTCACCACCAGAGTCCAGTGGCTAGAAGAGTTCCTAAATTCTTCAAGCATTTGGACTCATGTCGTTGTGGACTAATAGCAGACCCTTGTGACTTGCAGTCACTGGCCACCTCTAGTTGTGCAGGTGCACCACTGTTGTGTTTAGTGACTGTTGCCAAAAGTCTCTCTTTATATAGGAGACAGCATGCGCATGTAGCCCAGGAGGGTCTGCTGTGCTCACCCAGAACCCCACTGCTGCTTTCCACAAAGGGGCGGTTCCGTTGGGAGCATTCTTCTCATAAGTGATGGTTTCCCCCCTGCCCTTGTCTGCTTAAACAAGTCCTCTTCCATTAGACTGGACTTTAAAACGTGTATTGTTATAAATGGCTTCTGTCTCAAACAAACAAGGAAGAAACCGAACTTACCTGTTTTAATTACAGATAAACTCAGGCTCAGAAGTGGAGGCAGTATGCCGCTTACCCAGAAAACTACAGTGCTGTGCTTTCAAACATCTTCATAACAATCAAATTCATCAAGCAATTTTTTTTTTTTTTTTCGAGACAGGGTTTCTCTGTGTAGCTTTGTGCCTTTCCTGGATCTCACTCTGTAGACCAGGCTGGCCTCGAACTCACAAAGATCTGCCTGCCTCTGACTCCCAAGTGCTGGGATTAAAGGCGTGCGCCACCACCGCCCGGCTGCAATTTTTTATTATATTAAGTATTAATAAAAAGTTAATTCAAGATACATAAACCACTGGAATGAAAATTTTTATGCTGTGCTGTTTTATGACTTAGAAATATACTGAAAATGTTGTATTTCTAATTGTGTTTCAAACTGGATTTTTCTTTAAATTTAAAATAAAAAGCTAAAAAATAAAAAAATATATATTGTGACTGGAAAAGAGACCTTTCTGGTTACATCTCAACATCTCTTTTCACTAGAAAGAGGTATAGAGTACTCATTTGGCAGTCTGTGAGTCTGTGTTTCTCCACTGTCTGGATAATTCAGTTACTGCCATCTTATTTCAGTTCAACATTCTGAACATAGTGACCCAGATGAGAAAACAGCGTCAAGGCATGATCCAAACAAAGGTAGGTGCTCCTCTCATAACTCTAATAAGAGCAGTCAAGGTAAAGATAGCATACTGTAGCACTTACATTTCACAATGTTCTGTTTACCTTTGGGATTGCATTCATTCTTACTGTTCCAGGTGGACATTGGGGGAGTTGTTTTGTTCTGATAATCTTGATAAAGTGCATTAGGTTCCCATCAAGGGAATCTGTTTCATGGGGTTACTCAGAGAGCAAGGGAGAGGCCATGCTGCATAAGCAGTGTATCTAATTTTATTACTGAGTTTCTAGACAATAATTTGAAATGTGTACTTGCTTCTATCTGTCTGTCTGTCTATTGATTATTGGCATGTTATAAAAAGATATTTATTATTTCACAGATTAGTTTGTAATCACCAGGGAAAAATAAAGGGAATATTTATAATAAAAACAGTTGCCTCTGAACTGATATGTATACTATCTATAATGTGTATATCTAATTAGGGATATATTTGGTTAAATATTTATATAGCAATTGTATACATTTGAAATGTTATAATTACATGAGGGACTTAAAGAATTAGATTAGCTAGAGAAGACACAAGGAAATGGATGTTGACATTTCCCTTCTGTTTAGACACTTGCCTGTTAAAGAGTTCTAGATCAACACATTTCTTTGGATTATTTATGTTCTTCATATTTAAATATATACTTGCTTGAAGAAGTTCTCAAGTATTTGTAGATAAACATTTATTCTTTGAGAGGAATTTTCGTACGTGACTGAAAAAGATTCCAGATGTGTTCTCCCAAATGAGACATTGGTGTCTGCTTACTCACCGCTGTGTCCTTTGTGTGTGTACAGGAGCAGTATCACTTTTGTTATGAAATTGTGGTTGAAGTTCTTCAGAATCTTCTGACTCTGAGTTAAGAAAGAGTCTGCGCCTCTCACTTGAGATTACCAAGAAGCCTGTGCTGAAGGGTCTGCTGGCCATGCCGTTTGCTTCTGATTTTCTCTCTGAAGTCTCCCTGAAGGCAGCATCGTTGGCACGGAGTGAACTGTTTTCACTTGATCTTTCTGGACAATAGCAAATACCCTCCCATGTTTTCCAGTGGAACAAAAGTTCCGTGAAACAACGTCAGTTTAGCTGTTTGGTTTAAGGCATTAGAGAGTTCAAGAAAAGACTTCAGTGTATTCATTAAGATTTTATTTGGAAAGTGGCCAAAAGCCTCAAAAGATACGGTACAGCCTTACTCTGGGAGAACATGGAGCCAATGAACTTGAGGTTCATGTCTTGACCTCTCACGAGCATTTTGCAGACAGATATTTATCTGTGTTCTTTAAAGAAGCTAGAGTCCATACTCCCAGCTGGTAATTGAATAACTCAAAAGGACTCTAGGATGGATTGGCTTTTGATATACATTGGTTTTTGTGTCCTATACTTCCATGGTCCCAGAGTGCCCTAGGGATTTCCAAGGAAGAGCTACCTTCCTGGAGCAGTCAGGCCCTTGTCCTGCTGCCCTGGGAAACCCCTTGTGGGTGAATAGTCCCTCCTGTCCCTCCCATGAACACACACACTACTGAACAGCCCCAAACGAAAATACTCATCCATCTGTAGATTCAGTGGAAACGTTTGCCAGGCCCAGCTTCTTTCCTATCCTGCCCTAGCAGTTAACATACCATTCTGTCTGCTTTATCAGAAGCAAGTATTATGAGGTACTTGCCTCTTAATCTTTAGCTAACCAATAAACTTTAATGTAAGGATATTGCTCTGTAAGTTTGAGTCATTTTTGGTACCTGTTATACCAAGTGGTTTTTTTTTTTTTTTTTTAACTAAGATCTAAAAAGAAGGTTTTGTTTGTTTGTTTGCCTTTCTCTCTTTTTTTTTTCTCTAGAGGCCCATTAAGTTGTTTCTTTCTCTGCAGAAACATTTACATGCAGGACATTGGAACTAGATTTTGGAAAACCAAATTCATAGTTGTGAAAGTGAAAGCTTCTATATTCTTGTTAAAAACTCCTGGCCATTATTATATTCATCATACCGAGATTCTCCCTCAGACAGTTATAGTGATTCTTTGGTTAAGGGGTTTTGGTGATCAGTCATTCTTAATTATAAGCCACAAAGCAATTGATAAGTGTATTTGTACAGTGAATTCAGTAGTGATTACAGCTGTGAATCATATTGAAAATTCCTAAAATTATAAATACTATACTTTCAAGAGGTTATTGCTTTGGTTAAATGAATACTTGAATTGGTTGAATTAGAATCGATAAGTCTCACTTTAAAAATAATTATATGGCATATATTTGACATTAACTCAAGTTGATGATTATAGCTATTTATACTGTTAATATACAAAAGTCTATGCTGAACAATAATATCATTTTGTATGTTATTAAATGAAAATATTTACTATGTATTGCCTGAAGTATTTTTATTTATCAGGATCTTGTGATTTCTTGTGCAGAAACATTCCCCATGTCGTTGTGAGTGTGCCCCTTTTTAAATGTGTGTTATATTTTTACAGCTGGACTATTTTGAATTTTCCTGGGAATTTAAGTAAGTAAACATGGAAATACTAATTGCATTTGTTTTCATTTCGTTCTTGAAGGTGAACTTCAAGGTAAAAAGTTGGGATGAATTGAAATCCTAACTTCTATACCAGTAGTGAATCATTTTCCACCTGAATGGGAGTCTGCAGCTCTCATTGGTACCTTTGTGAAGCTGATTTAAAGAAAGTTTTAGCCGGGCGGTGGTGGCGCACGCCTTTAATCCCAGCACTTGGGAGGCAGAGCCAGGCGGATCTCTGTGAGTTCGAGGCCAGCCTGGGCTACCAAGTGAGTTCCAGGAAAGGCACACAGCTACACAGAGAAACCCTGTCTCGAAAAAAAAAAAAAAAAAAAAAAAAAAAAAGAAAGTTTTAAAATATTTATAAGTGAGCATAGATAATTATTAACTTTTAACTTCAAATACATATTTTAATGATGCTTAAGTGTTAGACCAAGGCTTTTCAGAAATAAGTACTACATATTTTATCCTCACACTACTTTTACTAATTTATTTTTCTTTCAATTTTTTCACTCTCAGTCTCTCTATAACATTCAACTTCCAATGAAGTTTACGTTTATGACTCAAAAGCCATTTCAATGATTTATTTTGTTGAAAAATCTCAAAGGAAAACACCTTGAAAAACTTAAAATGAAATTTCCATTTCCTACTTAGTTTTTTCTTAGTCCTAGAAAGAATTTTCTTCTGTGTTGTCTTGAGATTTGAAAAACTGAAAGAGAAGAGTTGGAATGTGTTCACTCGGCAAAAAACGGTTAGCGGACTCGGGAGGGAGGATGGATGGCTTAGAGCACTCAGTTAGTCTTTAACTATGATCCAAAAGTAGGAGTAATGACTTCATTATGAAACAGCCTGAAACTGAAGGTATTGTAAAAGCTATCCAAAACAGCTATCATCGCTGAGGGTTGACCATGATAAAGAATAATTTTTTAAAAATCACATTATATTTGAGGGTGGAAAAGTAGACTCCATTAACAAAGCCATCAGCACTATCACTAGGGAGTGAGCTGTGGATAGTGTAAGGATACAAAGTACAGTCATTGCTATTAATATTGGACAGTTAACATTACTTGTTTGCCTTCATAAAAATAAGTTTACTGAAAATAATATTAGAAAATATGTTACAAAGTCAGAATCCAAGGTGCCTTTGTAAAATGTGATCTTTCTCTATGGCTATTCAACTATCTTTTGATAGCACACCCTAGCTGGCTTGTATTTGTAATATTACAGGTTCATTCACTTATAATATCATCTGCAGATGCTTTTGTGATGCAATAGAAATGGCTGGATTATTCAAATTATCGGAGATTGTGTGGTTCTACAGCATTTACTGCCTGACATTTAAAGAGGGGTTTTGCCCCTTCTATATCACCACAGAGAGATAGAAACATTGAACAAAAAAAGTTGTATAAAATACTTTTGTCAGATGTAGGCATGGTGGAACATGCTTTCACCTCAGCACTCAAGAGGCGGAGGCAGGCAGATGTCTGTGAGTCCTGGTATGCATAGTGAGTTCCAGGCTAGCCAGGGCTACACAGTGAGACCCTCTTTCAAAAACCAAAACAATTTAAGATTAAACTTAATAAGAATTGAGCAGTTAATGATCATGTTCTAGATGACAATGAGTTCATTAAAGAGCCAAGATATTTTTTGAAAAAGAAAAGTTAATTGGGATGAAAGAAGAGTAATCAAATTGTGGTGGAAAAGCCAAAGTGATTTAAACACTGTGATTCTGGGCAGGACTGTACTCAGTGGGAGAGCCTTTGCCTAGCACATGTGAGGCTCTGAGTTTGATCCATAGCACTAGAAAAAAAAAAAGATAGAATGCAAGCAAGCAATTAGGGTGCAGAGATATGGATCAGTGGAACACAATAGAGTTGTCAATTGTAGAGTCAAACATTAAAATCTTTAAGCTGTTTGTGTGGATGAGTGTGTGTGCGTTTGCTTGGGGGATGTAATGCCACAGTGCACGTGGAGGTCAGAGGAGAGCTGGGAGGAGTCAGTTTTCTCCTTCCACTGTGTGGGGCCCAGGCCTTGAGCTCAGGTCATCAGCCTTGGCAGCCAGTGTGCCTGTAACCTCTGAGCTGCCTCACCAACCCACAATCATTTGTATTTTTTTAAAATTTTTATAAAGTCAGTGATAAGTTTTAGGCCTCCTGAAGGCCTCTCTGCCGTCACAACAAACCGAATCAGACCAAATTGGGAAGCCCAGGTTTAATGGGTAAAGCACTCCGGGTGATCCCCTGGCCCTGCAGAGAGAAGGGGACAAGACCGGAAGAACCATGAGTCTGTTTTTAGGGATGCCCCTTATATATCTCCTGTGGGAGTCGTCCTCTGGGGGAGGAGCTGTGTTTGGCGGGTTTGACTCCTACAACTCAAGTACTGTCTCCCACATGTCTTTTAAAGAATGGATGGAGCGAGGGTGGGGAAACTCTATGTACCACATAGCCAGGCTGGCGATGAGCCTGAGATTCTTTTGTAGATAAAGGAGTGGATTTGATTAACAGACCCCTTAGAGTACCCATGGCACTCTCTGTGGTATCTTTCTGCTAGGGCTTACTATTGAGATGTTGGCAATCAGTCTTTCTTTTTATCAACTCATTGTATAAAAAGTTCTTCAGAGGCCAAACACAAATGTGTATTGTGGCAGTGGTTCATTCTGCAGAATATCCATCTTTAGCAAAGCACATGCTCTTCCCAGGGCAAAGTGCTTATTTCCCAGGATTCTGCCTGTATGAAGCAGAAAATAAGGCAGAACATTAAAATAATTGTCAAGGTCAAATGAGGAAGGCTAAGCAGTGCTGGTCTCATACAACAAAGTAGTGCATTCACCCTTCAGTGACTGCTATAGCGGACTGCCACCAAGGATGGGCATGCTGGGACCTGCCAGGGATGCTAGGCTGGCATACCTGTTAACATTAGACTTCCAATGCCTCTGGAAAACAATTCCTGGGCCCCTTGGCTGCTCTCAGAGCTATGCAGAAACCGACTTACTGTAATACTTGAGCACAATGGCCAACCCCTAACCTCACAGTCAAATTCTATGGGAGATATTTGTTCAGAAGGTAGAGACCGCCAAGGCTTAACATAAGGTCTCTGCATAAGGGCTTTTTAAAGGAAGGTCCACCCTGGAGCAGGGTTGTTTCTGTTTATCCAAAACTAGACCCTTGGCTAGTGGGTCTGAAAGGTTTCAAATGTGGGGTTCAAGGGGAGCATGGAAGCAGATTGTTCTTTGAGCTAGGAGATGTATTAGAAGAGGTATCCATGGTAGCGACAAGCAGATAGCATCATGGCAGGACTCTGAGGAAAGTTCGGGTGCACAGGGCAGAGTTCAGGGGGCCCCTTGTAGGTTTCAGAGGATAGGAGCGGGAAGGAACTGAAGCTTTGAAGCTTTGTTTTGGCTAGAAGTTGGCTGTTATGAGGGGTAGCCTGAATGTGGGAAGTTAATGTGAGGGGATGGATAAGCACATCTCCTGGCCAGTTGTTACTGGGTCAATAGAGCCAGGAGGGCAGGAGTTTAGAGACCAAATTACTTAATTTTCAAGAATTGTCATAGTTGACCCCAAACCGGGCAGCTTTACAGTGGTCCTGCTAACAATGTCAAGTTGGGGAAGGGCAGGGATAAATGTAAAAGCGAAGGAAGGCGGCTACATGAATGCCTGGGGGTCCCAACTGCCTGGCTCCTTCTGGGTTTCAGTGAGAGAGAAGAGTGCATGACTCATCACTGAGGATGAGAACACAGGTGACTGTTGCTTACTGACTAGAAGCCAGATTGGCACCGTGACCTGAAGGTGTCCCAAGAGGCACTCAGAATCGGGGCCCACTGGCCAAGAGAGAAGCTGCTGTGGGAGGGAACGGGTAACTTCAGAATGGCTGTAACCCGAGAGTACCAGTAAGTGAGCAAAGGCTTGTGTATGGATGAGAAATTTGTGGTTTTGTTCTACCCTGGCTGGGCAGATGTCCTTAAACTGGTGACAGTTCTTCACCCAACAATACTGTTGAGCCTCGTCATCACCATCATCATCATCATCATCATCATCATCATCATCATTATCATCATCATCACTCTGTACTTTGAGTAGGTGGGATGCACTATATGATATTCACTCAAGATGTTGGGCAGCAGCAGCAGCAGCAGCCAGCACCCCTGGCCAGCCCTGTGATCATTAGGGAGAAACGTCTTCTACTCTGCAATGCTGTGGCACTAAGCTCTGGCGCTCAGTAAGTTAGGCTGATTCAATGCATTTTCCACCTGTGATGGGTTTACCAGGGTGTGACTCCATTCTGCACTGAGGATCGGGTGGGTGGTACCTTTTAGCCCCTGACATCTTCGTGCGCAGGCCTTTGTGCAGGTGTGGATCTTCTGGCCACGTTCCATGCACTGTACCCCACATCTGCCTTCTACACAGGGTAAGCAGTACCATGGCCACCATTCCTGTCATCAGTACTGTCCTGTCAAAGGTGAGGGAAGTTGGGAAAGATGGCAAATGTGTGAGGCATCGTGCATTGTGTCACTTTCCCTTAGAGTCTTGTGACTGGTTGGTTTGTGCCCCTGCTACAGAAAGCACATTACCTAGTTATTCATTTATGCCTTTCCCATGATCTTTTCAAAGACTCACCCATACTTGGCTTGGCTTTGAGTCACTTGCCCAGCATGATGAGTCCACAGTGGGTCTTCAGGTAGTGTTAGGTGAATCGAGGGAGAACTAGTAACTACTTACATACAAGTTTGTGGTCCTGGAGTCTTACGCCTAGTTTATATTTGTTTCTGACATGATTGTATGACCTTCATATGCCAGCGCCGAGGCATATTATACAGACCCAGTCCTATAGGACAGTCCAAAACAGAATG